ACAGTGTACAACACAATAGCTTCAAAATCACTTCAATAATTAAATGTAAAAAAAAATCAAACCTTAAAGAAGAGATACAGTTGAATGTGTGTCCAGTGGCTCTGGCTAGAGAAAGACTTATTTGCATACTTAACAATGTCACTTCCACACGTTATAATATAAAGATATAATTTGTAAGAATGTGCATTGTGAGGCATTTATAATAGACAAAATTGGGAGCAGCTGAAATGCCCAATAGAGAGCTGATTAACCAAATTGAGGTACATTTATATAATATAAAAGAAAGGGGCCATTGAAAATCATGTTTTCAATACCATGTTTCAGAATTTTAATGGCATGGAACATTTCTACAATAAAACAGTAAATGAAAAATTAGAACACCAAATTGTTTATGCAGTTTGAGCTCAACATATATATATTTTTTTCTTTTAAAAAGTCACCATTTTGGTAAGAGTGAAGAGAATGAATCTGCTCAGCTAATAGAGCAGTTGGCTGTCCTCCACCAAGAGATCAGGCCTAAAGCTAATTCAGCCGCCACCTTTTTGTCATTTCTTGTGAGGAAAAGACTGTATCAGTTCCAGATACCTAAAATCACAGTAAAAACCACACCTAAATCAAACAGTTTCGGAATCATGAGACACAAGGGGAAAAGTGGAAATTCATGAGATTTCAGTAGAACAGTCTCAAATTATCTTTATCGGTGCTTGGAATGCAAACAGCTACTCAATAGACATTTCCTGAAGCAACCTAAACAAAAAAAAAATTTTTTTTAGCCTACACTCGGTAAACCCAATCATCTCTTCGCTCAGTTTGCTGGAAATAATGCATACCCGTTGATGGTCAGTGGGCCACACCATCCCTTTTGAAGAGCTTTGGAGAAAACGAAGCTCACAGTAAATGACTATGGAGGGTTTCTTTTACTTTGTTTTCTAGCCAGCTAATTTGCATGAAAATGGGATATTTTGTTACACAACAGGCAGCATATACCAGGCACAATGGGCAGCACATACCAGGCACACTTGTTTTCTGTTACTCTGCTAGGAGTGTCTAGTGAGTTATGTTAGGTCACCCCTGATATACATCTTATATCAGGAAGCACCAGGAAGTTAACGATTCTGCCATGGACAACAGATGGACACCTAACCTGGGGGGAAATAAATAATGGACGCGGCCTTTTTATCACAGTTTTTCACTTCCAATCTGACTTACTCATGCAATAGACAAGGTGCAGCCATGTAGCTTTGTTTCTGGCGTCCACTCACTTTGTCAGAGGATTATTCGCCCATTCCTAGGTCACACACCACAGGCTTGAGTCCCTCAGTCTATCTCGTACCACGTTCTGTTCCAGCCTTATCTATGATGTGCTCACTCCTTGACCACGTTTTCGGTAAGAAGAACATGAGTGGTGTAGATTTAGCTGTGGGTCTGACCCATTGCGACATTCAGGTGCTTCATGAATGATGTGCTTTGTATAGAGTTGCTGAAGAAATGATTGAATGAATGAATTTGAAAGCAATACAAGAATGGGTTTAATTCATTCAGTGCAGGACTCAGTTGGGAAAATTTTGAGATGAATGCCACATCAATTTAGGCTCGGAAAAAGTCTAAAGCTTTCTTGCTGTTCAAATAGTGGGGACCCAGCCAGTGTGGCTCAGTGGTTGAGCATCAACCCATGCACCAAGAGGTCACCGGTTCGATTCCCGGTCAGGGCACATGCCCAGGTTGTGGGCCCGATCCCCAGTGGGGGGCATGCAGGAGGCGGCCAATCGGTGTTCTCTCTCATCGATGTTTCTCTCTCTCTCTCTCAAATCAATAAAGAAAAATAATTAAAAAAAAAAAACTCTTAAAAAAAATAGTGAGAAAAGCCTCAACCATTTTTGGTTTGAGCTGGTTAACCTGATCTTCTTTTCTTTATTGATTTTAGAGAGAGAGGAAGGGAGAGGGATGTGCCCTGACCGGGAATCGAACCGGTGACCTCTTGGTGCATGGGTTGATGCTCAACCACTGAGCCACACCGGCCAGGCAGGCCACTGATTTTTACTCATTAGTATTTAATAATATAAACACTGAAGTTTGCATTTCAAAAAATTAGTGATTCACAGTCCCTGCTTCAAAGAAGGCATGAATCCAAGCATGAAACATTGTCATTAGTTTGCAAGCTATTAGAGTGTGAAGAGCGATGAATATATATATTCATGTTATATGTGCTTATAACATAGTATCCTCTAAATTACACTATGGTCTGATCTATACAACTGTAGAACATAAATATATATTTTGTACCTAAAATAGTTTTAACATAAATATAGACAATTGTAGATAAATCGTAAAATCTAGATCAGTCATTCTGTCATTGTTTCTAATGGCATTGTTTTCATAAACAAGGTTGTACATTGATATTTAAAAAACATAAGTGGCGACCTTTACAGAATTGCTTCCACTTGTAATTATCTCCTGAACATAGGGGACTGATTAGCTACGAAAAAATTAAAAGAGAGAGGGGAGCCCTGGCCGGTTTGGCTCAGCAGGTAGAGCATCAGCCCAGGGACCAAGGAGTCCCAGGTTCGATTCCGGTCAAGGGCACGAACCTCAGCTGTGGTTCGTCCCGGCCTTGGTCAGGGTCGTGCGGGGGCCACCGGTCAATGTGTCTCTCTCACATCGATGTTTCTCTCTCTCTCTCTCTCTTTCTTTCTGTCTCCCTCCCTCACACTCTAAAGATAAATAGGAAAAAATATATATATATGCTCAGGCGAGGATTTAAAAAATGAGAGAGGTGAATGAAGAAAGGGAGGGAGGAGATGTAGAATACTTCTCCTTTGTGTATGCCAAGAGCTAGATTTGGACCCTGAACCAGTGTTTATTTTGCCTTCCAAAAGCTTCAGTGTCCTTGCCTCAGTTCATTTTGACCTGAAAGTTTATTTTCTTGCACCAAATGCTAGCAATAGGTTGCAGGTTGACATGAACCTCACATCACAGCCTTCAGTGCCGTGAGGCTGGGTGTCCGTAATGTGCTACTTCTCTGGACCCAGCGGGCAGGGAGTGATGTCCTGGGAGCCAGGGGCATTCCTGGAGTGAGTGTGAGGGCCGGTTTGGCTTTTTTGTGTCAGACCACCAAGAAGCAAGCCTCTTTTTGAGCTGGTAACCGTTATATTATAATCTCCCTTTTAAATGTTTTCTAAGAAGTCCCAAACCCATCTGCATGCAAACCAGTGACATCTAGCTAATAAGCCCTTTATCTGGGAATGTTATCTTCACATTTTTAGCTGAATTGTGATCCATATCACAAACTAAATATTGGATTTTTTAAATCGTATCTTTAAAAGGATGCCCAAATAATCCATCACTCAGATATATCTCTGAAAAAGAAAATGCCTCTTACTTTCGCAGTGATATCATTGCATATAAGGCACTTTCGGCGCATAGCTGGTTGATTGGGTGCACTCAGACCAGGGCGGTAATGAGGCCAAGGTCATGGAGGCCAGTTAGCTCTCTCTGCTCTGCGTACTGAGCACAGACACGGGGAGTCGGTCAAGACACACGGCACAGATGAACATGATACCATAGCAGCCCTGGCCGGTTTGGCTCAGCGGTTAGAGCGTTGGCCTGCGGACCAGAGAGACCCGGGCTCGGTTCCCGCTAAGGGCACATACCTCGGTTGCAATTTGTCCCCGGCCCTGGTTGGGTCGTGTGGGTGGCAGCCAGTCGATGTGTCTCTCTCATGTCGATGTTTCTCTCCCCGCCCCCCCGCCTCCTTCTCTATCTGAAGATGAATGCAAGAATGTCCGTGGGTGAGGATAAAAAAATTTTAAAAAAGATACCATAGCAAAATCTCAGCACTTCTCACAGTCCATCCTTCTCTGGGACACAGAGGATGCCTTCCTTCCACAGCGTCATCATAGGGAAGAAATGAGTAGCAGTTTGGGAGGCCCCAACCCCCAACATTTACCTCCGAACAAAGCAGGCATTTAGGCATTAACTTTGCATGATAATCCCCCAACATACCATTGATTTGCTGTGTAACCTTCAACAGGAAAGTGAAGATAATAGGATACAATGAAATGGGCTTACCTCCCGGGGATATTGTATGAATTAGCAAATTAATGAGTGTAAAGTGTTAGCATTTATGTTAGTGCTGGTGGTTGTCATTATTTGTAGGGACCTAGTCTCATTTCTACCTAGAGAATCTAAGTATATTATGCTTTTGTCAGAAAAGGATTTTCACCTACATCAATTGCATTTAAGCCGAGCATAAAACAGAGGTAATAACATAGTAGTGATCATCTCCATGAAAAGCTGTAAACCTTTTTCCTATTAAAGCTAAAACTATTTTCAGCAACTTTCAATACTTGAAAACTTCGCTTTTCAAGCTCCGTGCCAACAGTTATCTCGACAGTGATTATTCTTCCTGTGACAGTTGAGGGGAATGGGACCTATTCATTATTCATTCCCATTATGACTATATAGTGTATTGAATTTGTTTACATCATACAATCAGGCAAAGACTCGGTAGCTGGTTTGATGGCCACATATTGCAGTCATTGTAAAAAAAAAAAAAAAAATCAAAACTCTTTTCTGCTCTGCCCACACTGGTGGCCCCTAGAGGCAGCCGGTATACAGATGGAAAACTCATGGGGAATTGAAGTGCTTTTCCAACAAAAGGCACAGTATATAGATCCTTTCAATTTAACATGTTGACCAAGAAATTTCGTTGTCGCCTGCCATTTCCAAGGGGATTGTGCTTGAGCGAATTCCTCCATTTCTTGCATCACTCTGACTTCACTTACCAAGAAAAGTCACTTAGGACTGATTGCAGAGCTCTTGAAGTCAGCCTAGTAGCTGCGGCAGAAACTCCTCCGATCTGGGCTCCGCGTTACTTATTTACATATTCATTCGAAGTGATTTTTCAGGATGATTCGAAACCCTCTCTCGCCCTGACATCCTGTAATAGCCGAGATCTAAAGCTCACCGTGTTTTTGGTCCTTTTTCTCTTTGTCTTCCAGATAACAGACGAGCACCTTTGGAAAGGTCACGCTCTCGCCACAATGGAGCTGTCTCATCTAAGTGATTCCTGATGCCAAAGAAGATCAAAATCTTTAAATAAACAAAATCATTCATTTTGCGAAGAACAACACATGCACTCAAGGGATGGAGGGGAAAATCAGCGCATTTCTGCAAAGATCAAGCTAAGCCGGATAAAGCAGCCTGCATTTGTAAAGCTATTGCCAAACTCCTCCCACAGCTGTACTAGTATGAACACAACGATCGGGGTTATAAATGTGTGTTCCGTTGTAGTGCAGAGATGTGTGTTATCTGTTCTTGTGTGTGACCTGATGGTGGTGGTGGAAAGTGTAAGAGATCTCAGGCTTTTCAAAAACATTCAGGCTGTCAAAAGTTTACAATGTTACTCAAATCTGTAGGTCACCCCCCCCCCCTCCAAAAGCAAAAGGAAGAAAGAAAAAAATCAGAATAGAAAGAATGACTCAGTGTCTGCTTCTGATTCTTGTTACATAGAAAAGGAGAAAAGGCCAATGAAATGATTTGGAGGGGCACCAACATTGCCTACTCCGTAGAAGAAGCCATTTTGCAACTCAGAAATAGTCCTGCCTCACCCTGTCAAGTTATTCAGACTCTTATATCTCAAGTGAAAGCTGATGAATTTCATCTGCTTTGGCTGAAATGAAACTGATCATTAATCCAGCGTCTCAGCAATGATATTGCAGGCGCTTCTCGTGGCTAAAAATAAACCAAAGTTCAGCAGAAGCAGTTACAGTGATTTCAACTTTATTTAAAGACGTGTTTTCTAATTATGCACATAGCTCTACTTTCTACAAAGACTTTATACGGCTATTTTTGAGAAAAACTTCACATTTTCACGTTTGTGCGAGGGATGAACCTGAAAATCCCATTACCTTTATTTAGATTTTTCAAGGTAAATATTGATTCCTAATCTCTGTGGCTTATTTCTTCTCTCTCTCGCTTCTTTCTCCCGTACCCCTTTCCAAGCACGGAATAGAATTCTAGGAGACCTGAGAGGAAAAAGATTTCTCTCTGCAGGAGGCAGCAGAAAACCGAAAGGTCAATTGTTTTATCTGCCTTTCTACTCCCCTTTCCAATTCCGCTTTGGTGGGCTGAGGAAGAAAACACATTTCTATGTATGTATGTGTATATATGTGTATATATTTATATCTCCTGCTACAGCAATTCCACATCCCCGTGACTAAGTGAACCTCTCAGTCATCATGCTCACTTACTTATATTAACAAATTAAAATGATGCTGCCACAAACAACTCTAGGAGGAAAATGGGCTCTCCGTCTCTCTGAAATCGACGAGTGACGATTATATTTAAATTGCCTATTATTTTAAAATATGCATTAAAGTAATGTGGCATAACTTCTCTGGAGTGCAACTTCAAGACTAATCCATGCAGATGATTATTGTAAAAGATTTCTTATGTGTACATATCTTATACAGAGAATCCTATTTCTCCTCCAAAGCACACTGTAGACATTCAGAAAGAACAAAGGACCAATAGCTCAGTTTCCTTTATAGAGATGTGTAATGATTCAAACTGCTGCCTTTTCCTCCAGTGCATTCGTACTTGGGTATTATACTTTCAAAAGCTCTGAAGCTGCTACAGTAGAGAAATCAGAACGAATTACAGTATCTGAGATGTTACAGTTTGATCTCGTCCTAAGACGCGTGCATAGGCACACGGACAAATTTAAGGGAGATATCAATTCCACACAGCCTGGTTTTTAAACAACAACAGAGATACAGGTTCAACTAATTTATGTAAATACTTAACCTGTGGATTTTTGACTTCAAGTCATTTCCGAAATCACGGTATGGCTTCTTTGAGTCTTTTGATAGCTTTTTTTTGGCTGTAGGAAAACATTTTGCAAAATTAACCGTGACTAAGATGTAGGGGCATTCGCCATGCCATATTGTCCAGCTGGTCAAGGTAGACATCCTGAGGTGGGTCACCTTTTCCAGGTGTGAACTTGCCTTATTTTGTAGTTTGTGAGAAAAAACAAACAAATGAAATACTATTATTGATAAATTATATATTTGTATTTAGAGTAATCCCACATGCTTTTCACAGATATTACGAAGCCTTTTCAGGGTCTTTCATGAAGTTCCCATCATCGAGTTCAGGGAATTACTTCCCAGATTCATAACGGTCCTGCTCTAGCTACGCGCAGTCTGGGGTTCGGTAGACAGGTATCACCAGAAAAGTACACAATGACATTTTTTTTAGCATAGAACCAGGTCACACTGAAGGCTTCTCTTGCGTTCATGACCACCACACGTGAGAAACACCACTCGAAGAAGATTTTCTTCAGAATGTTTTTTGAACAATTACTAAAAAATCCTTGAGAGGTTTACTAGTTGCATCAGTTTCCTTTGGCTGCTATAACAGGTGGTCACCGCTCAGTTGCTGCATCCATCAGAAGCACATTCTCTCTCGGTTCTGATGTCCAGACAGCTCACACCGAGGGCCATGCTCCCTCCAGAGGCTGTAAAGGAAGATGTCCCCTTGCCTCTCTCTTCCAGCCTCTGGCGGCTGTTGGCCCTCCTCGGGCTCTGGCCACGTTCTTCTGCCCCGTTTTCGCATCACCTCCCCTCTGTGTCCCTGATCTCCCTGTGCCTCCCTTCTTTTAGGACACTCTTAGGTTGGCATTCAGGGCCCACTCAGATAACCCAGGATTTCACCTGAGGATCCTAAACTTAATTACATCTATAAGGCCTTTTTTCCAAATAAGGTAACATTTACAGGCTCTGGGGATGAGGTTATGAACATCTCTGTTTCGGAGGTGACCTCTGTCCCACTGTAGTATGCCCTCTGGCTTCCCCCAGCGTGGCTCTGTCCCACGGGCAAGATATCTTTATTCCATCTCAACCTTCATCCAGAGTCTCAACTCCTTGCAGCATCAGGTCTACGTCTAAAATTCCATCCAAAGCTCATCAGTTCAAAAGTCCCAAATCTCCTCATTTAGATCATCTAAATCAGGTACAGGCAAAACTCCTCTCCATCTGTGCATCAGGACAACAAGAAAACAAGCTATCTGCTTCCAAAACACAACGGTGGGACATTGGGTAATGGTGATGGACAGTCCTATTCCCAAAGGGACAAACAAAGTAGAAAGGGGTCATCTGTCCCGATGATTTTCAACATTCAGCCAGCAAAACCCCCTTAGGTTGCAGGCCTGATAATAATCCTCCTTGTCTTAGGGCTCCGCCCTTAGGCCCGCCGCTCTGTCCTCTCTGCCCATGGCTGTCACTTCTGCTTCTGTTCCCATGCTTGGGCCCCTGCCTCTGTACCTACAGCTGTGCCCTAGAGGTGGCCTTTTACATTGAAGGGTAGCACTAGGTTGCAGTCTTTTCAGCCTGTTTGCTGCCTGTAAAATTTTGGTAGTCTGGCAGCCTCTCTCATTGCGTCCCGTCTCAGCCCCTTCCAGGCCAACCTAGAAGTGTTTCTGCTGGTATACCATTCTCAAAACCTCTGTGGGCCTCCCATGAATGTCACATTGATTCAACAGTGACACAAGAGAGTCCTCACAGATCTTTGCTGGATAACCCCACCTCTGTTCTTGGCTCTTGTTGAGATAAGGTTGAGTTGATCCATGAGTCAGGGTCTAATCTCTCCAGCACTTGCCAGAGGTTGTCCAGCCACATCCTTGGCTTGATCTGGGGAGCACACTATCCTAACAGCGAATCTCCCAATTTTAGCATCTTTCACAATCTGAATAGGCTCAAAATGTTCTGAATCAACAAGTGCTGGTTCCTTTCTGCTTAAAAGTTCTCTCCTCAATTTCTTTCCTCTTGTATTTTAATGTAAGTGCTCAAAGAAACTAGGCCATACCTCCAGTGCTTTGCGTGGAAATCTCAGTTAAACATCCAAGTTCATCACTTACAAATTCTACTTTCCATGCAGCTGTTGGAGACAATTCAGACAAGACGTATGCTGCTATCTAACAAGGATCACATTTCCTCTAGCTTCTAATGTTCCTTAGTCCCTTCCGAGCCCTTACCAGAAGCACTTTTAACATCTAGATTTTTGCAAACAGTCTGTTTAAGGCAATCTATGGGTTTTCTATCACGTGCATCAACATGTTTCCAGCTTCTACCCATTATCCAATTCCAAAGTCAACCCCATTTTCAGTTATTTGATATATAGCAAGTCTTGACTTCCTGGCACCAAAATCTGTGTTAGGTTCCTGGGGCTGCTGTAGCAGATTACTGCAGATGTGGAAGCTTAAATCAACAGCTAGTTCTTTTCTTACTGTTTTGGGGGCCAGAAATCCTAAATTGAGGTGTCGTCAGGGCTGCACTCCCTCCGGAAGCTCTAGGAGAAAAATCGGTTCCCTGCCTGGCCCAGTTTCTTGTGACTTGTCCCACGGCCGTGGCCAAATCATTCTTGACTCTGTCTTCACATCACCCTTCCCAGTGTGTATCTTACCAACTTCTGCCTCTCTCTTCTAAGGACACTTGAGATGCCATTCAGGGTCCACCAGTTTATCCACAATAACCTCCTCATCTCAAGATCTTGAACCCCATTACATTTTTGAAGACACTTTTTTCTAAATAAGATAACATGACAGGGTCTGGGATTTAGGACAGGGAGGTACGTTTAGGGAGCCACCACTCAGCTCACTACACTAGTCAATGCACACAAGTGTACTTTGCACTTTTTAAAATGCATCCTTGGTGCTCAGGCCAAATTCAAGGTTGTCTCTAAAAGCTGTTGTGTGCACAGGCTACCGCATGCTTCGATGTTCAATGGCTGAACAGGCCATTCGAAAATTTGGTTGATACTTTTGCTACTATGGCCAATTTGCTTGAAAACATAATTGGTTCCAACTCTGAGCTCTAGTGTATCTCTTCTGCCCCTTTTATGGAGTCTTTGACCAAATGTCTTCTATGATTCATAACGCAGGCATAAAACTACCTCTGATACAGAAGGGTTCTTTACAAATTGATTTGAGATAGCCCTAGCTGAAGGGAGAGGTGACAGCAAAGCCTGCTTTGAATAGTGTTGAGGGAGATTGTGCCCAGACCAAGACACCCAGAAGTATTTCAGTAGCAGTAGAACTGTGGATTCATGCTCTCATGTTGCCTCAGAATAAACACCTGTCTCTTCGCAGGACCAAGAATGACTTGCAATCTATATGTAATGCACACTTATTCAATAAAGTTAAGATGTACATGAAATGGTGTGTTGCCTCTGATAATTGCTATTAAGGATGAGTGAACCCTGGCCGGTTTGGCTCAGCAGTTAGAGCGTCGGCCTGCGGACCAAGGAGTCTCGTGTTCGATTCTGGCCAAGGGCATGGACCTCGGTTGCAGTTTGGTTCCCGGCCCTGGTTGGAGTCCTGCAGGAGGTAACCAGTCGATGTGTCTCTCTC